AGGTATTGAACATCATAGATCTGGTAGCTTCTAGCACAAATATTATGAAGAATTGGGATTCTGTGATCATATAACTTGCCAAGATTAATTTTCCACTTAATCATTGTCTTTCAGAATGATTTTTCTGAAAAAATCATCCACTTTTCCAAAAGTGAAAAAGGCATGATCAGGTCTTTCTCAATTCTGCCTATAGGGCACACTGGTTAATCTAGTACACAAAGTCTCTGCAGAATACAGTACAAAGTAGTTAAACTTATGATAAGACTATGCATAATTTATTTCTAACTTAGTTTTCTGCTACCCACTCTCAGTTACCCATTTCTGTGCCTTTGTTCATGTAATAGTCTTCTTTAGGCATCTTCTCTGGCCCATTGCTGCTTGTTGAAATCACATGTTCTGCTAATAACTCAAGTCTCATTTCAGTAGTCACTTTCATGAAATATTCCTGATCTTCAAATAAGCTGTTGGCATTACTTTTGATCCCCACAGTATTTTTCTTTAATCTTAAAAGAGTTCTTTATTTAACTTTGAAAATAGTTATCTCTATATTTGTGTTATCTTGTTAGTGGATTTCAAATTCTTTTAAGGAAAGCCCTAACTTTTACTCACATTGTGAGGTTCTGGGCACAGTGTTTGCACAGAGTAGGCATTTAATGAATGTTTGTGGAAAAGAAAATCAATCGAGGCAAATAAAGCAGGGAAAGAAAAGGAGGATAGTGGAGTCATTGTTGTCAATCACAGTGTTCCGAGTACTAAAGAAAAATGTCAGAAGTCACTGCCTCTGAAGGTGGACTCTCTCCCAGACAGCTTCCTGAAAGCCCCTTTAACATCCTTGTTCCTCAGGCTGTAAATGATGGGGTTCAACATGGAAGTCATAACTGAATAGAACACAGAGATGACCTTATCTTTTTCATTCATTGTCTTGGAATTGGGTCTCATGTAGGCAAATATTCCAGAGCCATAGTAGAGAACCACAACAGTGAGATGGGACCCACAGGTAGAGAACAACTTGTGCCTCCCCTCTCCTGACTGCATCCGAATCACAGTGGAGATAATGTGCCAGTAGGAGACCAGGATGAGGGAGGCAGGTGCCAAGAGGATAACCATGCCCATTGAAAAGAGGGCCATCTCAGCCTTGTAAGTGTCTGCTGAAGCCAGCTTCAGGAGCGCGGGAGGTTCACAAAAATAATGATTAACTACATTCTGTCCCTGGTAGGGGAGGCACAGTGTAAATGCACTGTCCACTGAACATACAAATGCCCCACTGATCCAGGACACTGTAGCCAGCTGGACACAAACCCTCTGGGTCATAATAGTGGAGTAGTGCAGGGGCTTGCAGACAGCCACGTAGCGGTCATAGGACATCACCGCCAGCAGTGCACACTCTGTACACCCTGCTAGAAGGAAGACAACTATCTGTAGTGAGCATCCAGCAAAGGAAATGCTTTTCTTTTTCACAAGGAAGTGGACCAGCATCTGAGGAACAATGCTTGTAGAGAAACAGAGGTCGGCAAAGGACAAGTTTTTAAGGAAAAAGTACATGGGAGTGTGAAGTTGAGAGTCAGTTTGGATAAGGATTATTATGAGCAGATTCCCAAATATAGAGAGAAGGTAAATTATCAGGAAAACACAGAACAGCAAGATCTGGATCTTTGGATCCTGTGAAAGTCCCAGCAAGATAAATTCAGCCACAGAAGTTTGGTTTCCTTCTTCCATTGATGTTTATTCCTGTTCACCTATCATCAGAAAGAGAACAGATGTATTCTTAATGTTTGATTTCATATGTTTCATAAACAAGTACAGTGTTAACAAGTGTACCTTATTGAAATATTGGCTTTCGTGCTTCCTACTAGGTGCCAGTTAGCATTAGGATGCATACCGTTGTTTCCACAGATTTACATGGTTTTTAAGCACAGTTTTCCGTGCTTGATCCACTTGGTAGGCTGAGTGTCACATTTGATGTTGTGTCTTCACTAATCCTGATGTCGACATATTTATGTGCTGCTATGAAGATGCATTAAAGGAATTGTCTTTGGTTTAATTTTATTTTTTTCTTGTCAATAAGTATTTTGTATTTTACTTGGATTAGCAGTATGAGAATGAGCTAAATTTATTTAGTCAATAAAAACCACTTCTGCTTTTATACTTCAAAATAAAAAAACAGACGTCAATGACAAATTTGCCCATAATAGAGTAGGAGGTTCATATACAGTTTGGGGCATCAAACAGATAAATTGTAGGTTTAGTTCTTGCTTTAGTCCATAGGGTTTTTATAAAGAAGCTTCTTAAGTAGTAATCCAAACAGGGTAAAGAAAACGTAGCATGAAAAAATGTAATATTCAGAAACATAGCTGAATAGTGAGACTTTAGTGCCTTGTTGAGGGAAAGAAGGCAGGACAAAGCAGGAGCTTGAACTTCTGAATGGATATTAGCAGATTGTACAACCCCATGACACACAATCTCAGCTCACCTCTGATCCCAGCTTCAGCTGTGGTGGACAGTTCTGACTCACCAGGCACCATGGATAGTCTACCTCACAGCCCCCAGGCCTGGCTTTCTGCTTTCTGCTTTCTGCCCAGGGTGTTGGAAGGATGGGGAAGCGAATGTGCCAGAGCCAACCTTTAACCAATGGGCAATGGGTGTTGACGAGTGAACGCACCAGACATTTCTGGGAGTCATTCTATACACTTCTTAGATGTTAAGCTCTGGAGCTAAGTCTTCATTGTCTATGCCGTATTTATTACTATTATTATTATCAGTACTACTATTTCCTCTAAGAAGCTTTTTTAGAATTTTTTTCCTAACCACCATCCCTCATAAATTTTAGTAGTTCAGTTATATTGTATATTTATTTATATACTGCTGCCCTTTGGAGGGCCACATGCAATCTCTAAGATTTCTTTCTCCTTCCTATATTGCCCCATTGAGAAAGCACAGTCTAGACCAGGGGTTGGCAAACTTTTGAGATGGAAGAGCTGCCAGGGGTCAGCAAACTNCAGTGGAATGAATAAATATTCACTCAAAGGGACATTGCACAGTGATCAAAACAAAGGAACCAGAGACATACAAGAAAACAAATAACTCAGAAATCAAATAGTCAGTGAAACAAAGATATTCCTAAGTATTAAATATCATGATACTCCTTTTGTAGATTAAAAAACTAAATGCAAATATATTTTTTATGTCTACATGTAGATTCAATCCAACTATATAAAAGTGATGAAAGGAGAATGATGGACATAAAACCTGGGATGACAGTTAATTACAATGAAAGGAGGCAGAGAGAAGGACTGGTGGTGATCTAATGGTTAGATAAAAGGTATCGTCATGGTCCTAGCTTGTGTTTTGGTGGCAACTTTATAGTAATGATGAAATAAGTTCCTACACATCTGACTTCCAATGTTGCTTTCTACTTTATAGATAAAATAAATATTACAGGTAATTAAATCCCTCAGATGCACACTTCCTTTCATCTCTTCATTATCCTATGTAGAAACTGTCTTTACTCCTGGGCCTTTTATTTAAAAGGAATAAGAGCAACTTCTCCACCTGAGTTGACTTCTCCAGTCACTGCTGAGATTCTATCTTTCTTACCTTCACTGCCTACTCTAAAATCTCTTTGCTTCTTTATTTGCATGGGCTTTTTGTAGTATGTGCTTTCTCAATCCTCTGATTTAGCTTCCAAATATGATCAAGATTGTCCTGTTCAGAAAAACAATCCTTTGGATTTACTATTTCTTCAGACTATTTTTCTAAATGCCTTCCATGTTCACAAAAAATTTCTTGAAAAAGCATTTATAATTACTGGGTCTACTTCTACTTTGAATTGCTTACTCATTATATATGAAGTAACACTTTTTAGCTATTATATCAGACAACCTAGAAATCATAGTAGCATAACCATATAAAATTGTATTTCTCTCTCATGTAACAGTTGAATGCAGATTTCTTGTTTTGGGAGCTGTCTTCAAATGCTCTCCTCTAAGGGATAGTGTGTTTACTCGGATAAGAGAACTTTTCATTCAGGGAAATACTGAAGAAGGAGATGATAACAATGTAAACCTCCCCTTATGACAGAGCATGGCTCTCTGTTGTCCCAGAGATAATGAAACCTGGCTGTTGAAGTTTCACTCACATTTTAGCTGATTAAAACCAGGATCATCTCCATCTCCTACTTCATCTCAACTGATTAGCTTTTCTACAGGTTCACCAATGTCCTAATAACAAATTCAATGATCATTGAATAATTATATTTAATATTAATCCAACAATACTTATTTAAGTTTCTGAATTATTAAGGAACCATTTGAGTCTGAATCATATTGTTACTGGCCAAGAGAGTGCTCCCCCCCACCCCACCAAAGGCTTTTAAGTTTTCTTTCCTATAGAAATGTTAAGTATAGAAACGTTAAATCTCCTTCCTAGTTTCTGTTTCTTAGCCCCTGGTTTTGATTACTCTTCTCATCAGTCTGTGAATCCTAGGCTGAAGATTGCTCCTAGCCTGAATCCTAGAATTCTCCTATCCCCTTGCTTCTTGATTGCTTGGTAAATCAGTTTCTGAATCCTAAACAATAGAACTCTCCTACCCGTGCTTCAGATAACTACTTGAAAGCCTGTGACTTCCTAATATCCCCCCAGGCCAATAAGATAAACGCCAAACCCATTCTGGGCCCAGACAACTGACACCACATGAGTAACAGGCTGAATGGCCATAGGCTTCATGAGAGCTAACAGAATTGTTAATTAAAATATATTTTTCCTCATTCAGGGACCTTGGGGTACAGAGGATACCTCAACAAGATTGCCATTCACAACCAAAGAAGCCAACACAGTCTTCCAGGCGGAGCTCGAGACCCCTTCCTCTCATTTGAGATCAGCTAGGGTGAGAGGTCTGTGAATCCCCCAATAAGCAGTGACAACTCTACACCCCTGCCCAGCAGGAAGCAGATACAGAAGAAAAGACCTCCTGTCCCTCAACTTCCCATAGAGATTTTATGGGGATCATGTCTCTCAAGGGGAAAACTAGGCAGGCAGTTAGAGGCAGACATTGGGTCTCTGCATTCCTGCACGTCCCACAGAATGTGACTGCCCAGGTGACTTCCCCTCTACATCCAAAACTCCCCTTTGTATTGTAATTA